ACCTAGATCTGTCAACTGATCAATTATTTTCCCCATAGAGGAGAAAGCAAAACGAAAGACAGAAAGAAAAAGGGAAAGAGAAAGGGGAGGGCAGAGAAGTGGGGAGAAAAGGCCAGAAAGTGGAAGGAAGGGGGTGGGAGGAATAAAAGGAAAAAGGGGCAGAGAAAGAATAAGGAAACTGGATGAACACACACAGATTTTAAATTGAACAGCAAAATAGCAAGAGCAGGCTACTTCAGTAGGTTGCATAAATAAGTAAGTAGATACAAAATATAAAACTCTCAGAGGTTACTGACCAATTATAGTTAAAGCACACAATAGGACCTTCTTTTTTCTACCCTTTGTCAATCCTGATAAGAGCTATTTATTCTCCTAAAATCCTACCTTCAGGCCTCATTTGCCCCAAATGCTTACCTCTGTCTGCCATTATTTCTACCCTGCATTGCAAGTCCATGCAGAAATCTTCTTTGATAAATGAATGGAAGGTCATGCTCCCTACATGTTTCTTCTAAAGTCCTTCTGCCTTTTCTCAATGCAGTTATGAACCAGAAGAGAATAGCACAGTGGTCCCTGGGATGGGAATATACACCTCCAAGCCACAGGAAGCACTGGGGGCGGGGGGGGGCACCGCAGTGCTTTGTCTTCTTGCCAGTGGTTCGCAGGGGCAGGGGCGGCTTCCAGATCACGGGGGGGGGGGGGGGGGGGACCAATCCAATGATATCCTCTACTCTATCCAAACTATGTGCCACCTATCATTTTATTTTTGCATGTTTTCAGTTTTTATGTTTAATCTTTTTACTGAATTTCAAATGACTAGACATAAACATGTAACAAGCCGATAGAGCAGAAAGGAAGTAAACTGCATAAATATAACCAGTCTCAGCATGGAGTTCCACTTAGCACCACATGTTTGGAGTGTTACAAGCATTAATGGGTCCTTACAACACCCAGGGGAGTCACTCTCTGGCCTGGCAGGCAGGTGGGGAGACAGGCTCACAGAGGGAAAGGTTTTTCCCTACAGAAAACATAGGGGCATGTGAGCTCAGATGTATATGTTCCCCATGATCAGTGGCCTGAACCCTAGACGACATGAATATAGGGTGTTTGAAGGGTCTGCAGGACCTGGTGAGGGTGAAGGGGGAGAGGCAGACACAAAGTAACATTCTACTTGGTAGGCAGAGGCAGGCTGTGAGCTCAAAACCTAAAAACTGGGAGCAGAGCCAAGTCCCAGAGTTTAGAGTTCTTTCCAAAGTATTTCTTGCACAAGTGGAAAGTAACAGCAATTGTTGCATGTCTTTCTTGCACATGGCAAAATCATGTGTTCCATATTGATTCTATAACTCTGCCACTTCGTAGGGTATCAAGAGATATCGAGGATATAAAAAAGGACATGAGACACCCTTTAAAGAAACAGTTCAGTACTCCTTAGCACCAGTGCTACAGGAGAACTTTCTGAGTAGCAACAGAGATAGAAAGCACTGCTTAGAATTATATTGGGCTTTAAATGTACCCAAAAGGAAGATTTACCCCAGGTCTAGCTTTTACTAAGACTGTAACCCAATAATAGTAAGGCCTGTTGTCCACTGCTGGGAATCTCCAGATGCACTTGACCCAGTGCTCCGCGGACCATCACTGCTAGCTGGGTCAATTTACTAAGGCTGAAAACAAGCTGAATTTACTGTACTATTCTCAGCTCACCTGTGACTCACTCCCTGTTGACATCTTCAAGCATGGTAGGGCAGTTCCACTTTGGGGAGCTCCTCTGCAACTCTTTGGCCATGTAACAAGTGCCTACAGTCAGCCCAATGTCTTTCACCCAAACTCAGTGTATCACTTTGCCATACAATCTGATGTCTTGTTGAGTTCCCCACAGCTCAGGAGCCCTGCCCAGCTCAGGCTACTGCTAGCACCCAGACATTTACTGTGAGAGGGAAGAGCCTGACTAGTCTTCCCAGCAGAGTGGTGCCCATACTAGTGCTGAGAAGAGGAGACTGTGAATTTAGCTGAATCCCCTTCCCTTCACTTGGTGCATGCTTATGCCTCAAGTGAGCAGATACACTGATGTGGAGTGTGAAGAGATGGGAGAAATTTAGAAGGGGAAGACAGGAACAGGGCCAATCTCCCCAGATGTTGAAAGGAACAATGATCCTTCGAAGGAGAAATAATTGGTTTCTAGAAAGAGAAAAGCAGCAGCATACCAGCTATCCCTTTCAGAGCCTCTCAGTGGCAGGAGGGTGGTGTGCTCAAAGGACAGCTCTTAATCCAGCTTCCCCACTCCTATCCCCAGGAAAGAGGAGGCAATGCTTAATCAACCCTGGTGTATCTTAGGGCCAGAGCCCGGGGGAGCTAATCACCCCCACTCCCACCCGCTGCACTAATCAGTGCTGATGCTTGGAAAACTCCCTCCCCCCTAAGCTGGATCATGGTTGCTGGTTAGGTTGAGGGAAGAAGCAGGACGGGGGGGGGGGGGGGGGTTCAATAATCTGTCACCAACACTACAAATCTTTTCAAGAGGCAGGAAACACAAGTAGCAGATCTAGAAAGAGCCAGCTTAAAACCAAAACAGGAGATGAAAAAATTGCCTTGGAATGTGTACTGCATTCTAACTAGTTCCACTGGGTCAATGCAATAGGGGTGGCTTATTGCAGGCAAGACCGGGGCTGCCTCTGTAATTCTCTAAGTTTGATAAGAGATAGCTGGCAGACTCTGGCTTCCTTCTCCTGAAAGAGAAAACAAACATTACCTTTGCCATTTTCAACTGGCATGTGGTACAGGGGTCTTTGGGGGTCACTCTGCCTTAAAATTGGGCAGGCTGTGTTCTGTTATGACACGTTGAAGCCTATTCAGAGATGACTCAAGGTGGGCAGCACATATATAGCCATTATTCTCCTTAGAAAATCCTGGATTTGACAGATAAGAGGAAGTCTGAGATACCCCTGCCGCCATCATTCCCCACCCCAAGATAGAAGTGGGACAAAAGATCAGATTTTCCCCTGGAGAATTATGCACCACCACTTTCTACTCATCTATTCAGGGAAGACCCAAAGTCTGAGCATATATTCTGCTTTCTTGCATTTATTTCAGAGTAAAAAAAAAAAATCACGTATGCTAATTTATATGCTAATCAGGATGGCCCTCAGGCTCCTGGCATGTGGCCAGTGGGGTTGTTGATGGTAGAAGTTAGGCTGTTGGCTCCATTTTGATGTCACTACACAAAAAAGGCCCAGACACCAGTACAGATGAGAATGATTGAAGGCTTTGGATCCTTTTCTCTCCCTTCCTCTGACCCCTCACTCCAAACTTTGCCTAATTAGTTTCCTTTCTATTGTCAGCATGATATAAATTATTTTCCTAAAGGGGCCTGGTCCTGAACTCAGTTTCCCTACTGCCAGTGTTAGGGCTCTAGTCTCACTGAGAGCCCCTGTGCACCCAGGACAACCACCAGTCACACGCACACACACACATATACACGCATATGCACAAATGCTGCTGCTAAGCTCCAAGTTATATAAGAGGATTTAACCAAGGATGTCATCAAGTTGGCGCCTATCACTCTTATACAACAAATGTCCCAGCAGGGGAGAAAGACCCCGAGCCCCACTAGGACTGGGCACAACAAGCAGTACCAAAGATACCCAGACAAACCCATTCCCATGGATCTCCTTGTCATCTGGCCCACTCTTGTCTTACTCCTTGAACCTCAGCCAAAACTCTACATACATTTGACTCTTCCCCACCTCGGTCCCTCTGTCCAGCTTGTGAGGATCCACAAGGTAGCTTGCCACCTACCTCTAAGGTACAGCAGCTTCTCCAAAGCCTAATCAGAGGATTAGTGTTAAGGACTTAATTAAGATCAACAAAATCCCAAATTGCAATGTGTAGAAGGGGATGAGGTAGAAGGGGTGCCCAATACTCTTTCATCTTGTCAAAGCAAAATTTCCTTGTGGATACAACTAGACAGGACTGGGCCTCCCTTGGGCTTTGGCTCCTTGAGGAAAGCCCAGCTGTGCCACCGAGGAAAAGTTTTCTGCTTGCCTCAATCGCTGTAAGTTTAGGCATATTTCATAAGAAAGAGGAGAGCTAGCCCCTCCCCCAAAACACACACACACACACACACACACACACAAAGGACAAGCAGGCTAGTGGCTAACGATGTTGCTGGAATATAAGAGCTGGAATAGGCAGGGGGCTACACAGTGCTGAAAATGGACTCCTGGCTGAAGCAGGTTCTAAATGCAGATTCCAAACCCAGCACTGTGAACATCAAAGCATGCACTGGGCCAGAGCAATCCCTGTCCTCAACTTCAGCATCCCAGCCGATAAATAAGCAGAAAATTAACACTTGACTCTTCCTGCCTCTCCCTTCAACTTGGAAAATCTTCCCAAAATATTAGAGCTTCATGCTCTTGCTTTCTTTTATCTGTCTACCCCCACAAGCATACCCCAAACATATTGAAACTCACTGCTACAGACTGATCAACCCTTCAGGCTGGATTGCCGACCAGAACCTCAGAGGAGGCACCGTTACCTGATTAGTTCCATCCTGTATTCTCCCACCAGCTCCTTTTAGAAGCCTTGCAACTTTACTGACTGATATTTAAAGTTTCCACTTGTGATTTCTTTCCAGTAATATAAGCAACACATTAACAACCCAATGCCCTTTGAGTCTGTAATTTTCCCCTGCTTGCATGTGTGCCCTGTTGTGTATGTGTGCAAGAATGTACAGTAAAACCCAGGAAACCTGCACACAGCCGCGTACCTAACGGAGCCAGACACATTTTACTTATGCATATACATCCCTCCTTTCCTGTAGCAGCCAGAACCAAATCAATATTCTCACAGCCTGGTAGGGAGAAGGAAGTCCCAGCCATGCTGTTTCAATGCTCTCTCCTCCACCTGCAAACTGCGCAGCCGAACAGACTTGGGGAGACTGCGATTCATATAAAGCACATTGTACAAAGCCTGGGTCTACTGTAGGCAAATCAATAGCAAGCTCTTACCTTGAAAGAGAAACAGCGCAGCCAGCCCCGTGAAGATTGCCCAAGAGATAGAATTGTGCATTTTTGCCTGGGTGGTTTTCATGATTTTTTTTTCTTCTTCTTTTTCTTCTTTTTTGTCAGGGTCGGTTTTTTCTTTCTTTCTTTTCTGACAGATTGCGTTGCTCTAAGCTCAGAGAAGGAGATTTAAATCCACTGTTTTTCTGAAGGACACCACAAGAAAGCCGAGGGTGTGAGAGAGTGTGACTTCTCAGTAATTATCTCCACTCATACTCTGGCACTGAGACACATTGTACAATCTGGCCCTGGACAGCCCTCCTACAAGCTGCAATCATTGGTTCTAATCCAAGGATTGACAGAGCTATAACACACACGCACACACACATACACACACACTCGCACGCACAGAATCATTTACTGGGAAAATCTGGCTAGCTGATTAAAGAGACAGAAGCCTGGAGAGATGGAATGATAAATGCCACTTTTCTCCTTCTATATTGCTTTCATTTTTTAAACTGACAGTCTTGGAGCCCCAAGCATAAAAAAAATCCCCATCCCTCTGGCATTCCCTGGTCCCCTGAACTCAGATTCCCTTTGCACTGAAAAAATCCTATTGCCAGCAACCACTTACAGGAAATTTTAAAGGGACATTTTCATGCTCAGTGAAACTTGCAAAGATAAGTCAAATTTCATTCATTGGTACCTATTTTTCGTTTTGATGGAATATCATTCAATGACAGTTTTGTTTTCCTCTCACACATCTTTCATCTTTTCCCAATCAACCTTTCCACTTAGTTGCTTTGGACCAATAATAAATAACTTTCTGTTATCTTCTCCTGTTACTTCTGTTTCAGATACACCTGTATTATTCTAATTTTTACTTTTACTTTATTTATTTCCTAAAATCATTCTGTGTATGATACCCAAAAAGGGATGAGGTATGTGGGCTTTGAGAAGAGAACAAGGAAAGACTTTATTACATGTCTTAGTCAATCTTCATTCACTGATAAAATGAATTAATATAAGTATCTGTGGATTTAAACAGCAGCAAAACAGTTTTAAGTCAGATATGCTGTAGGACTTTCTGAGTGATAGACTGTGTGTGGTTCTAAAACCTTCTCAGAGTATTGTACACTTTCATCTCCTTGGGTATGGAGGAGAACAACATCAACTAGAAATAATCAAATGAATATAAAAACTTTTTGAGGGATCTTTTAACTCCTTTCAACTCTAAGGCCCTGGAAATTGATGATTCTATTTTTTTGGCTTCCTCTTACAGGAAGCAAATTATATGAAAATATCAAAAAGCAATCATTAACAGATCATTCTGTACTTGATTCTGAAAAATTCACATGCATTGACATACATTTTTGAAATATTCTTCCAGACTTCCACAGCTAATTGTTATACTTCTGTGTAACCCCATCATAATTTTAATGCATATATCCTCAAATTGCACAGAATTAAAGTACTTGTGTCATTTATGGGAGCTCTGGTGGTGTAGTGCCTAAGGCATTTGACTAGCACTAAGCAAAAGGCTGGAGCTCTGGTAGCATAGTGCCTAAGGCACTGGACTGCTAACCAGGAGGCTGGCGGTTCAAACCCACCAGCCACTCCTCGGAAGGAAGGTTGGGCATTCCTACTTCCGTAGTGATAACTGCCTCGGAAACCCAAGGAGGGGTCGCTATGAGTCGGGGCCGACTCGACGGCAAATAACAACAACAACAAGCAAAAGGCTGGTGATTCAAACCCACCAGTCACTCCTGGGAAGGAAGATTGGGCAATCTACTTGCGTAGAGATACTGCACCGGAAACCCAAGGAGGCATCGCTATGAGTCTGATTCGACTTGACAACAGTGAATTTGGTTTTTGGTATATAGGACAAAGGAATTCTGATGACATGGTGGTTAAAGCATTCAGCTGCTAGCCAAAAGGTTGGCAGTTTGAACCCACCAGTTGTCCTGTAGGCTTCTGTAAAGATTTACAGCCTTAAAAACCCTGTGGGGCAGTTCTTCTGTGTCCTATAGGGTTGCTATGTGTCAGAATTGATTTGATGGCAGTGGATTTGGTTTTCGGTTTTATAAGTGACAACAATAGTAAGTTAATCATTATGGTTGATATTTTTGAACATTTACTGTGTGCCAGGCATGATATTCAGCATCTTGTATACATTTTTCTCATTAAATCCTTACAAGTGATGAAGTGATGGGCTCTATTCTTTTATAGATAAGGACATTGAGGTTCAGAGAAACTTGTCTGCAGTCACACAGTTGGTAATCAACGGAGCCAGGATTCAAACCTAACAATTTGCCTCTTAGACAAGACTGTAATACTATCCTATGTTAATTATGACGGAGGACTTAAATATCAGACATTCTTACTTATAACCTGTTTTATATTTGTAATGGCATATGAGATTATAAATTAATTAGGGTTATAAAACAACACATGTAGATACAGGAAATAGACATAGGTTGATATAGGAAATATAAGAAAAACCTCTATATTGCTTTTTAGTGTTTATTGAGTGTTAAATGGTTGGTGTGTATAATTAATTTTGCCAGAATCCAAAGATGCAGGTAGATTGTCATATTCCATGACAGTTTAAAAAATTCTGTGGTGATGATGGTAGTCGTAATATACCTGAAAGTAAGAGAGAGACTAGATCTAAGACAGCAGGAAAAATAGTTCAGGCAGGGCATACTATTAATTAAAAAATCAGAGATAGAAATACACTAGATAAATTTGGGGTTCTAGAGATACGTCTGAGATCCGCCATCTTACTCTGACATATTTCTGTAAGTAGGATTTAATTTCTAGTCTTACAAAACTTTAAAATTTTATAAGGTCAAATATGGATCATAGCATAAAGTTTGATATATATTACTTACCTCTTACACACATGTATCAGTTGTCAGTTTGTTATACTGTAGTGGTTTGCATATTTCTGTGGTATCAGAAAGTATGCCAACAGTATTTCAAATACTAGCAGAGTGGACTAGCATGGTGGACAGGTTTCAGTGGTGAACCCAGACTAGTACAGACTAGTAAGAAAGACTTGGTGATCTACTTCTGAAAACTAGCCAATGAAAACCCTATGGATCACAACTGAATTTTGTCTTATATAGTGCTGAATGATGAGCCACCTAGACTAGAAGGCAGTCGAAATGCACAGTGGCTGCAATAATGGACTCAATAATATCAACAATCGTAAAAATGGTACAGGACTGGGAAACATTTCATTCTGTTGTGCATGAGGTCGCCATGAGTCATAATCTGGTAATAACAGCACATATGTAATGTAATCATGCCTGGCACATGCCAGAAACATTGAGGTTTTTTTTTTTTTTTTTTTTTTCTTTTCTAAACTTTGTTTTTAATGTTCTTTTTGAGAATTGGTGTTAGGGGCCATCAAGTCATCTCTGACTATTAGCAACTCTCTGCAAAATACAATGAAAAACTGCCCAGTCCTACACTCACTATCATCAATATTGTTGCTATGTTTGAGCACATTGTTGCATTCACTGTGTCAGTCTGTCTCATTGCAGATCTTCCTCTTTTTTCCTGATACTTTACCTTACCAAGTGTGATATCCTTCTCTAGGAATTGGTCCCTCCTGATAAAATGTCCAAAGTACACAAAATAAAGTCTGATAACCTTCACTGCTAAGGAGCATTCTGGCTTTATTTCTTCCAAGACAGATATGTTCCTTTTTCATGGCATATTCAACATTCTTTGCCAACACTGTATCCAAATGCATAAATTCTTCTTTTTGGTTTTCTTTATTCATTATCCAGCTTTTGCATGCATATGACGTAATTGTGTCCTGGTTACCTAGTGCCGCTCTGACAAGAATATACCACAAATGGGATAGCCTTAACAAACAGAAGTTTATTCTCTCACAATGTGGAGGCTTTAAGTCAAAGTTCAAAGTGTCAGGCTCTAGGGGATGAGTGAAAGCCCCTCGACCTTGGGCTTCAGCTCTGCCTCTTGCTCCCGGCCCACTGAAGCTAGAAGCATCTCTTTACTCAGGCAGCTACTGGCTGCTGAGGCTAAAAAGCCCTAGGTCAACAAATAAAATGGCACAGTCCCTATGTTACCAAACCACACAGCAGGCCATTAATTCAAGTCCACTGTAAGTCCCAAGGTCAGCAGAGCATGGCAGGCTGCTGAACAGTCACATGCAGGGTCCAAGTGTGCCATAAGCTAGAGACTATTCCCAAGACTTCTCCTTATATACAGGAAGCAAACCACACCCCAAAGAGATCCCACCATGGAGTTGATTGCCAGTCTCATCCTGGGGAATAACTACATCCAGCTGCCCAGCCACTCAACCAGGCCCAGCCAAGTTTACATACAAATTTAACTACCACAGACTGAAAATACTATGGCTGGGGTTAGATGCCCCTTAGTCCTCAATGTGACATCTTTGCTTTTTAACACTTTATAGTGCTCTTTTGTAGCACCTTTACCCAACCCAATGTGTCATTCAATTTCTTGACTGCTGCTTTCATGGGCATTGATTGTGGAGCCAAGTAAAATGAAATCCTTAACAACTTCAATATTTTCTGTATTTATCATTATGTTGCTTATTGGTCTATTTGTGAAAATTTTTGTTTTATTTATGTTGAGGTATAATTCATACAGAAGACTGTAGACTTTGATCTTCCTCAGTAAGAGCTTCAAGTCTTTTTCACTTTCAGCAGCAAGGTTGTATCATCTGCATGTTATGGGTTGTTATGAGTCTTCCTCCAGTCCTGATTCCACATTTTTCTGTATATAGCCCAGCTCCTCAGATTATTTGCTCAGCTTATATATTGAATAAGTGTGGGGAAAGGATACAAACCTGATACACATCTTTTCTGATTTGAAATCCTGCAATATCCCCTTGTTCTAGGTACAGGTTGGTCTATGTTATAAAAAATTTGTTATGATCCACACAGGCGAAAGTCTTTGTATAGTCAATAAAATACAGGCAAATATCTTTCTGACATTCTCTGCTTTCAACCAAGATCCATATGACATCAACACTGATAGCATCCTCTGCTGCATTTGGCTTGAATTTCTGGCAGTTCACTGTTGATGTATTACTGCCATTTTAAAAATTATCTTCAGCAAAATCCTCCTTGCATGTGATATTATTGATATGGTTTGATAATTTCCACATTCTGTGGAATCACCTTTCTTTGGAATGGGCACAAACATGGATCTCTTCCA